TATGCCTAGCATTCTGCCTGCAACTTTCCGAGACAAAAATGTTTCTGGAAATAAAAGAACGCCTCTACAAAATTTTACTTCACTTGAAAGATGAACTCTAATACTGAGAACATAATTTCTTTAGATCGGAATAAAATTTGAATGTGAATGATCCAATCAAGTGTTTTATTAATAAACTGTTTGGTTGATGCAAGATATTTAACATATTTTGAACTCCAAACCTAGTCATTTTCAGTCTCGTCAGTTGTTTTATATTCTACATCTTTAGGTTATTGGTATCTTTTAGACAGACCTACCTTTTAAAATACGTATAATTTTTATTCTGAACCGATCCGCTTTTAAACTCCCAGTAATACAACTGGAATCTTTGAGGGTATTGTTTATTACATTAATGTACTTATGTGAAATTGTATCGTCTAGTAAGAATATAATGTTGTCCGTTTGAGCTACTGATTTTCATATCCTGGTCTCACTACTTTTATTATACATTTTTCACATTTCTTCATTGTATGCAGTGGAGGATCCAGAAATTTTCATAAGAGGGGGCCCACTGACTGCCTAAGAGGGACCTGCTCCAGTCATGCTTCAGTGATTCCCTATATAATCAACCACAAAAGGGGGGCCCGGGCCCCCTGCCCCCCCCCCCCCCCCCCCCCCCTAAATCCGCCTCTGGACTATGAATACATTGTCCTATGCTATATGATTGGCAAAACTAAATCAAAGGCACGTGTTAGAAAAGTGACATGCTCTATGAATTTAAGCAACTTCTCTTTGGTGGGTTCATCAGGATAAATGTCTGCACCTACAAAACAGACCCCTGTTAACAAGTGGCAGTCAAAACTACATGCATATTCTCATCGTTTTTCAACTTTTCAGATCCTTCCAATTGATGTAAAGTTCAATTGCTCTCATACTGAATATGAATGAAATATTTGCCGCGGGACTTAAAAGTTACAATCATTTAATTGATCTTTTCATAACTACTGTAAATTTAGAAATTATTGCATGCATTTATTATTGCGATTTATGAAGAATGGAAAAAATGCCAGATTAATTATTGTGATTGGAGGAAAAAACTGCATACATATATATGCATCAGATATCAGAATGCGAGTTCTTAATTTCTCAATACTCACCAGGTCGCATTATTTGCATTAATAAAAACCTTGCAATAAATTCTGAATTTACAGTATACTATCATAAGTATTGACTGGGGTATAGAAATATGGTCATCCCTTGGTCTTCTTCCAACCTGCAGTAAAACCCCTTAACATAGTGGGTGTCCTTGATGCTGTGCAGGATGTATAAATTCACAGACACAGCTGGTCAGAATGGAGATGCTTGCCTTGTGTAGATGAAATGCCACAAAGGAGAAGGTCCGGTAAGGGCTTGTTTTGGCCTAATATTCTAAGTACATCTAATGAAAGATTTTTGACATTTTTTAAACACGTACGTGTCTACTTCGGTCGATTCAATTAGTGTATACAAAAGATTTGGACTGATTTGGTCATTAAAGACGCTCAAATAGAGACTTAAATATGAAAAATCTATCAAATATGCCATAAAACATCACTTTTTAGATGGTTTTTGTCTAAAATGAAAGTGTCCACATTCGTGTTCAGTCTCAACCTTTATATATGTTATGTATTATCATCAAGTACAACATATATTTAAATATTAAGACTGAACACAAATGCGGCCACTTCCATTTTAGACAAAAAACGCCTTTAAATTAGCACAAATGCTAAAATTGTGAAGATTTCAGTAATATTGCATGAATTTATGATGCTATTACCTGATGCATGTGCATTGTATTGTCAAAATCAGCCCATATTTATGGAACAGAAGTATTCTTCTTTCCAATAAATAGCTAAAAGTTTACATTTTAACAAATTTGTAAAAATGCTATATTTTGGGGCCAAAAAGGGGTCTTGCCGGGCCTACTCCTTTTCTGTACATTAAAGAACCCTTGTTATAACTCACTGCGTGGTATTAAGTGGCCTGTTGCAAGGCAAAATTTCAGCCTGTTTCCAAAACACACTCATTTTTCCAGTTGCAGTCCAAATTTCTTGCCTTCATCCCTGTTGATCCTAACCTGCAGAACCTATTATTTCTTTTTACTCATCCTGAACATGCATGAAATATATAATGCTGTATGTAAAGCAACAAGCAATTATTATAATACATGCTTAATATATCAATAGGAAATCTATGATTATTTAGCTTGTCTTGCTTCTGCACAATATGTATAAATTATTTGGAATTAGAAAGACACATCATGTTCCAGATGTTTGTCTTTTCAAGTTATCTTTCAGGCAGCATGTATTTTTTGTGTCTGATTCAAGGATAGAAGCGTCCATCTTTAAAATGTACCTGAACAGCTACTAAAAATACATTTTATCATTAGTTCTGGTGGTATACAGGATAATTTATTAGCTTCCCATGATAGTTTCTGAGGGATTCCAAACCAGTCAAAATACTGCAGTGTCAAAATGAAGTTTGAAGGAGCAGCACAAAGTTACAAAAATAATCTGACTTAGGGCTTAGGACTTAGGGGTGGGCTACCCTTCCAAGTAATAAAAATTTAACTTTCTGTCTTTTTGTATTATTTTGCTTGGAAACCATCACAGATGAAAAATTTGATTAATTGAGAATCTAAAATTTCATGGCGGATTTTTTTTATCAGGAATTTTAAAATTGGTTTGAGGAGGAGGTAGGATAGAGGGAGGGCCGTTTTTTTGGTTCCTGAAATTGTAAAGTTAAAATTTGTTCAATCTTATCAAAATTAATCGAGTAGGATGATATACTCTGGAAAATTCGGTACAAAAATGTCAATTGCAATGACACCAACATTATAATTGATTGGTCCAGAATCCTCAAATTTAATATCTTTCTTTGCTAATTACCAAAGATTTTTGTATGCAAATGTTCCATTAGGGTCAGTCAACTTTTGTTATTGTGTGTAAAAAATCATTGTGCCTACAGACAGATGACCACACTCCAGTACAATAACTTTCAGTTATATAACAAGAGGCTCATGAGAGCCTGATATCGCTCACCTGTAATTTCAGTTTCAGGCATTTGACTTATTTGTAGATCTTACTTTGCTGAACAATTTTGTCATTTACAATTTCCCTCTTTCTATAATAATATTAAAGATAATACATAACTCAAAACTGTAAAATTTCCTAAAAATTAACTATTTCTGGACAGTAACCCAACAATAAGTTGTCCTATTAGTCTGAAGATTACTCGACAGGTAGATCTAAACCTATTTAACACTTTCACCTGTCAGTTTTGCTCTTACTGCTTTAGTTTTTGAGATGAAAGCCAAAAACTTCATTTGACCCTTATGTTCTATTTTTAGAAACTGCCGCCATGTTTTTGAATGGATCCCCGAATACAACCTATAAACTAAATACCATAAGGAACATTCAATTGAAGTTTTGAAGTATTTGGCCAAGTAGTTTCAGAGAAGAGAGGATTTTTGAAAAGTAATTCACAAAAAATGTAAAAAAAAACGTTTTAAGGGCAATAACTCCTTAAGGGGTCAATTGACTATTTTGATCATGTTAACTTATTTGTAGATCTTACTTAGCTGAACATTTATTGCCATTTATACTTTCTCTCTATCTATTATAATATTAAAGAAAATAACAGTAAAATTTAATAAAAATAAACTATTTCCAACAGTAACCCAACAATGGATTGTCAAACTTGTCTGAAAATTTTAAAACAGATACATCATGACCCATTAATCACTTTAACTCCCTTTTATTTTTGCTCTAACTGCTGTAGTTTTTGAGATATAAGCCAAAAACTGTTTTGTCCCCCATGTTTTATTTTAAGCCATGGCGGCCGTGTTTGTTGATGGATCAAAACTTTGGATACAATTTACAAACTAGATTCCCTAAGGAACATTCAGTTAAAGTTTGGAAGTATTTAGCCCATTAGTTTCAGAGAAGATTTTTGAAAAAGTAATAGACTAGCACGAAAAAATGTAAAAAATAAACATTTCAAGGGCAATGACTCCTTAAGGAGTCAATTGACTATTTTGATCATTTGGCTTATTTGCAGATCCTACTTAGCTGAACATTTTTGCCATTTACACTTTCTCTCTATCTATTATAATATTAAAGAAAAAAACCAAACACAGTAAAAATTTCATAAAAATAAACTATTTCAGAAAGTAACCCTATAATGGGTGGTCCAATTGGTCTGAAAATTTCATAGCATATAGATTTTGACTTATTCATCACCTTAATTCCATATCACTTTTGCTATAACTGCTATAGTTTTTGAGATAAAAGCCAAAAACTGCATTTGACCCCTATGTTCTATTTTTAGCCATGGCGGCCATGTTTGTTAATGGATCAAAACTTTAGATACAACTTATAAACCAATTACCCTAAGGAACATTCAGTTAAAGTTTAGAAGTATAAGGCCTAGTAGTTTCAGAGGAGAAGATTTTTAAATGTTGGCAAACATGATGAATAAATTGTGTAAAATTGTCTTTAAAGGGCAATAACTCCTTAAGGGGTCAATTGACAATTTTGGTCATATAACTTTTTGTAGATCTTACTTTGCTGAACATTTTTTCTGTTTACAATAGGTTGTTCAGTTCGTCTGAAAATTTCAGGGCTGATAGATCTTGAGCTTTTGAACATTTTTACCCCATGTCAGATTTGCTCTAAATCTTTTAATTTTTGAGATATAAGCCAAAAACTGCATTTGACCCCTATGTTCTATTTTTAGCCATGGCGGCCATGTTTGTTGATGGATCAAAACTTCGGATACTGTTCATAAACTAGATACTCTAAGGAACATTCAGTTAAAGTTTGAAGGTATTTGGCCCAGTAGTTTCAGAGGAGAAGATTCTTGAAATAGTTTACGACGGCGACGGATGCCAAGTGATGGCATAAGCACACATGGCAGAAACCTGAAACGTATACTTTTTTACTCTTCAATATAATTAAAAAAAGCAAGTCCTAAAACAGAAATATATGACCTTGTAAAAATTTTATGTTGAAACTTTTTATCCTGCTGTAGAAGAACAAAGTTTTACATGACAACATGATTAGTTTCAAGTAAGGTGACAATGACACATTATCATTCATGATTTAAAAGCACTATCAAACAATGGGAAAATGTACAACATGATTCTCTTATACAGACATACAATGTGCATATTACCTCTTTTTCATGATAACAAATAGAATTCACCACATAGATAATACAAACTGTAACCTATGTAATTCACACATATCAAGTAAACCTGCAAATTAAGCAATTTTACACCATTTTGAAAAGAACACAACATGTGCTTCAGGTTTCATAAAAAAATTATTACGACAAAATCATTCTTCACATGGCATTCATGGATTGTGAAACTGAATAAACACAAACATAAACAACCTAGCAATGCTAAACAAAAAAAAAAAGCCACATTTTCAGAATAATTTTTTCCCGAATAAAACTTCTTGGCTGTTAATGCAAGCGAGTCAGTAGGCACTTTTACAATTTCCAACCATCTACAATATAAAATTCTATATAAATTTTTAAAGATTTCTTCAAGTAAATACATGTACATCCACCTCCCAATTACTAACTTTAATTGCCTTCTAACACCCTCACATAACCATTTCTGGACCAGCCCTTATCCAGATTAGTTGAAACCTGAACCACACATTATTTCATTTGCTTAATCAAGTATGCCTGGATGACATGCTCTGGACAGTAAAAAGAATTACAAGAAAAAAATCAAATGCAGTTGTATCATTTTTGCAATCTTTTTTAAAAATAAATGAGATCTATCAGTAAATACTGTAAATTCAGAATTTGATGCATGTCTTTATTATGGTAAATCGTAAAAAAAAAACACAATGATGCAAGTTAGATAAAACAATTCCTGTACTGTTGTCTAAATATTACAAGAGGAAATTAAATGGGCATGTCTACTATTGTGAATTTCACCGTCACATTCATTTGCATTAATAAAAACATTGCACAAATTTCTGATTTTACAAATTTTACAATACATTATATACCACATACACATATTTAAATCAAATAATGGGAGAAAAAGTATTCAACAAAATGTATATGACACTGTGTTCTTTGCATCTGTACTTTATAGAGTAACAATAATTTTTTTGTTAACATGTCCCGATAAGATTTTTCTATTTAACTTTGCATCAGGGATAACAAACCGTTAAATTTAAGATTCACTTCTACAACAATACAGTTTTGATCCCACAGTGAATTTTTCAGGAAAGTTTGCATACAAAGCTATTTTTTACTTATTCAATTCAAATATGTAATAAAAAATATACCTTCATGTGCTACTTTTAGAGATAAATGGGGTCAAAATTTTGGACATTTACTGGAAATTTCGGTTACTTAGACATTTCTATCCTTTGGAAAGACAAACCTAATTTTTTATTGCAAAAGATAAACGCAAGCAGATTTTTGTAAAAACATTTTGAACATCTTCTCTACATGAGTGTGCCTTGAATTTGTGTAACAATTCTTTGCAAATAATAAATTTTTATCACTTGCATGATTTTATTACCAAAATAAAAACGAAGCATTTTTTTGCATGTATTTATGTAATTCAAAAAATTTCATTGGTGATTTGTTCATAAAAATTGGCACAAATAATCTTCATACATAATCAAATCAAATGTCATTTTTAAAAAAAGAGGTCCATTAACTTGTTTTTAAGTTAAATCAGTTTGAATGATAAAAATCAGTCGTAAAATGCATCTTTTCCCCTGACATGTCACAGTTTGACTTCTCCAAAAATAACATTTTACGTTAGTGACCTCATAACCTCCCCTGCAACTGTATCATATGCCCTTAGTCATTTTCAAAAGCACTAATTTGGCCCTTGAAATCCTAATTAAATAGTTTTACTACAACTGAAAAAAAACTGTGTAGATACAAAAAAAATTATTATAATAATACTGTAAATAAATATGTTTTCAGAGATAACCTTTAAAAAAAATTCACCAAACCTGACCTTCCATTTTTTCAAAATGTAGGTATGTAGGGCTTTTAATCAAGAAAAAAAATATAAAATAAAAAAAACAAAAAAACTTTCCGTTTTGAATTTTCCTCGGAGTTCAGTATTTCTGTGATTTTACTTTATACAGAAACCAACTGAAAATCACTTTGCCTGGATCAATGGGAAATCAGATAAACAAATGAAATAAAACTTTGTTGTCTTTGGAAATGGTCAACATAAAAAGTTTTTTAATTTGTTGCCATTCTTGGTCATTTAAATTTCAATACTTTCATGTTTTGTATGGCAATTAAAGTAGAAAAGAAAAACTCCAATTTGTTTAATGTAAAGTCTAGAACAGCATTAGATTCTTCTAGCTGTGTTTCATGTTAGTTTTAAAAAAATGATATGCCTAAATACCTTACAAATCGGCCCAATGGTTTTAAGCAGGCAGATTCATATTGGAAAAGAAACATAATCTTTAATATTTGACCTTACAATAATAAATCTGCTTGGCTATTTATCAATAATGCCCAGAAAAAACCTTACATTTTCCTTCCACATCCAATTATGGGCAAATGGACCAGAATATAATTATCAAGTTTAAGGGGCCTAATGCAAGCACATTTTAATAGAAATATTTTTGATTAAAACAATATTTAAGAGGATAGAAAAATTTCTACATACATAGATACAAAGAAAAAGAATAAATCACATATCTTACACACCACTAACATGAGTTACATACCATCTCTCAACAATATACTAACAAATTACCAATCAGAAAGATGGGAAGCATTCTGTTGAACTTCCAAGACTTTATTATTAAAGAATTCTACAACAAAATAATTAAATTTAAGAAAATTAAAATTCTGTTAAACAAATGACTTTAAATGTAGAAGTATGAGATACCAGAACACACCAAAAACATTTGGCTTTCTTATCAAAATTTATAAAAATTCTTATGCTTTCATTCCTTTCCTTGATTATAAGTCTGATTTTATGACAACAGTATTTCATTAACATACAAAATCCTTTGATCATTTTAACAATTCAAAACAAAAGTTGTGTCAGGTGCTTTTCATCTTTCTAACTGTATTTAGTTAACAAGCAACAAAATATAACAATAACATTAATACCTCTGGAAAGGTCGTCTGAAGGGACGATAATTATCATGATATGGCCTCTTTGGAGGAGGACCACCATAGGGGTCTCTAAAATCAGGAAAATTGGGGTCCCTTCTATACGGATGTTCAAAACGAGGAGGAAATCGTGGATGAAAGAAAGGTTCATGATGAGGAGGAGGTGGCCGAGGATGTCTGTGAAATGGCGGCCTAAAGTCATGAGGGGGAGGATGATACGGCACTTCTTCATACTGTTCGGCTTCTTCTGGCTGCTGTTCATATTCATTTGCCTCCCCATCATATGTTTCCTCTATAACCTCTTCCATTCCTTCCTCTGGATTATACTCCTCCTGATCAGTATAACCACTTATTGCATTTAATGATTCATTGTTCACTTCCTCTTGTGCACCATTTTCATTCTCATTTAAGTGATTATTATCTGGTTCATCAAAGTCTACCGGAGTTATAGTAGTTAAATTAGGTCTTGATCTATTTGTAGCAAACATCTTGGGTTTATTGTTATTTTGTACCTCATCAATGACTGGCGGTGAAACAAGGTTTGGTCCTCCAGCTGTCTTTCGCTTTAGTTTCTCTAAAAATTCTCTGTGATCATCAGCCACTTGACCACCCGAGTCTGAGCCTGGCTTCATAAATTTATTTCTACCTTCAATTGGACTTGGAGGTTCTGAAGGTGGTTCTGGATTAATTGCCATATTGTCATTTTCTACCAAAGTTACTTCCCTCAGACTAGAAGTCCTGTTTCTTAAAATGCTTTTAGGTTGTACTGGAGGAGACACCATCTGAGGTGGTGGTGACTGTAGATTTGTGTTATGCCGTTGATGTTGGAAATCTCCCCACACTTCATGTCCTTCATGTGGCTGTGATGATGGCCTCACAGGGGCCTGAGAATTTGGGGGAGGCGGTCTCCAAGGAGGTGGTGACAACATATGGTCTCCTGCTGCCATTCGCACTGGGGGTTGTCCAGCAAAACCAGGAAAGGGGGGTCTTTGAAGTGGGGCAAGAGTTGGAGGTCTCCAGGGTTCTGGTATTCCACCAGGGTTGGAATTCACCGGATTTCCATACGGAGTAGACACTGGACCATAAGGATGCTGCAACTGGGGTCGAGGGTTTGCAGTTGACAATACAGGGGGTGATGTAGGGACATGACTTTGAGATGATACTGGGAGCTGGGAGTTGATCATAGGAGGTTGGGAGCGACTCACTGGAGGAGGTTGTGACATAGGAGGTTGAACCATCTGTGGGAACATAGGAGGTGGTAAAATTGGCGGAATAACCCCTGGCTGTGGCTGCTGTGTTGTATTCTGAGCTTTCCATTCTGCCCATGAACCTGCAGATTGTTCTGACATGATTGGTTGATTGTTTATAGTTGTGGTGTCTTCCTTTTTATGTTGAAATTGTGTTTTGACAGTGTTTGTTAATAATGATAAACTTGCAAGGAAATTAGACCCACTTGCTGTTGTTTTTGCTGTATTTGCCAAAATCTGTGTAAGAAAGTCAATCGGATTCTGATGTTGTTTAGCTGGTGGAGGCGAGTCCTGTTTTTCATCCATAACAGGAGTAGAACTGCCTTCATCTTTCACGGGTGTCCCTTCTCCTTCTTCATTTGACTGTTTAGACAAAACTTTAATGGCACTAGCTTTTGGAGGAGGATTATAGACAGGAATTTCTCCTCCATTGTTAGATTTTCTTGGGTCATGTCCATTGTAAGTGGATCCCTGACTTAGAGCTGCACTGTGTTGTGTTGTCATCATTGACGATATATTCTGTAAAGTATCTGTATCGGCTGTAAAGAAAAAAAAAATTGAATATTTTGTGCTTGAAATACATGTTCTATGTTCAATTTAGCACATGCATCTACAAAATTCCAGCATTTTCTTAGATAGGTGTGTTTTTAAAAAATATTATGCAAGCACAGCACAAAATAAACAAACAACTAAGGCTTGGATCTATAAAACATGTCCTAAAGAGAAGTCTGTTTAGTAGTGTACTAGATATGGATGGACAACTTACTATCCTGTGTATCCTTAATTAACCCATAATAATGCCATGTGAAAAGATTTCCTTTGGAACCCTCTTATTGACAGAATAAGCATTTATATAAATGAAAAGGGGTTCAAAAGGAAGTCTTGTCTGCCATATTATGTTTTACTGTTGAAATTTTGTCCTATTTTTAAACCTTTACCTTGGTTATTGATTGTTCAACTTGAAATGTCCATCAACTCTGGAAAACTTCAAACATCCTGATAATGATATTCTTTCCGTGCCCTATATAACGACTTTGTTACATTTTATCAGTTTCTTTGCATTTAGGGATATTCCATAAAACTATACCCAGGACTTTTAAATATCAGTTATGGATGGCTGTCACATCCTTTTTTGTAAAGTAAAAATGTAAGTGAATTCTAAAATGCTTCTTAAAGGTGTTTACTTAATTTTCAAAATGCTTTCTCTAGGAACCATATGAATGAATGAAAAAACCTCATATCTCCAATTCCAAGTTTAAGCAGGCAATTTTACGACAATAAATAATGCAAAACATGATGCCTTATGACAGAGTCTCATATTTACATTGAATTTAATAAAAAAAAAAAAAAAAAAAAATCTTAGAATTAAAAATATAAGAAGTCCACAGTTCTTGTATATACCTTTCTTTTATCAATACATTACTTATTATACAGAAATCAGTATACAACGTACCAGTAAATGGTTGTGTGAATTGTGGCTGTGTTGGTAAGTATGGATCAGCTGCAGGATCATAACTCTCGTCAGCATCTTCTAATACCACAGAGGGCGTTTCTGTTATTGTCTTAGCTGTACGAAATCAAAAGAAAACATAAAAAACAACTCTTCTACACTTTATTCACAGTTATATATATATATTGCTTAACTTTAAAACAAATTGAACTGTTATACCAGTTAAACATATATTTCTCCAAATAGACATTGTATTTGACAATCCATATGTTTTGCTTCATATTAGTCAACTGTTTACCAGTAGTGTGTGTAAGAACTTATCTAGGAGTATTTTTCCATATCATTAACTGCTATTGGTGGTAATTTTAAAAATTGGTGCAAAATGCAATTAACTGAAATACTGAACATTTATACTTTTATTCCTGCGAAATTCTAACAATCACTGATGCAGATGTCTTGAGTTTATGTCTGTTAAAACTCCTCCATTACATGAACTTCTAAATTAGAAAGATATATCGTACAAAGTGACTTAATGTCAAAAATGATGGACAATTAATTAGAGAATTTGAAAATCTAGAAAATTTCACTGACCATGCAAGACCCTCAAGGTAGTCAAGGAAAAGATGATTAAGTAGTACCTTGCCTTTTTCTCCACTATGACTCCAGCTAGAGAATCTCCTGATTTAAATATTACCTTAGATGACCTTTAAAATGTTAGCTTTGAGCATTCCTGATGAAGATTAATAAAAAAAAAAATGTAACAGCAAATCTTGTATTTATAATACTTACGAATAATGCTGTTAGATGCTTCGTCATCCAGATCCATATCTACTGATTCAATATTATCAAGGGTATCCTCAGGGGGTGTATTCCCTGGGGAGGGAGCATCTCTGGATGGTGAAGGTACAGGACTTGGCAAGGACTTGACTAAATCTTCTAATCTCTTTCTTAAATTGTTTATTCTTGTTCCAAAATTTTTGTATGCCTAAAATGTAAATAATTTTTGTGTGTGTAGAATCCTTTTTTGATCAGAATGCTACATATTTTGTGTACCTGTTCTATATATAAACCCTGATAAGAAAAACAAAATCTGTACACAATACCATGATTACAGAATACAGTAACAATTACACAGTAGTCTGTCTTAGGGTGGTTTCTTTAACATAATGATATCCAGGAAGACTCTTTCAGTGCTTAATAGTGATGTCTTTTTCAGCAATACATGCCATACCACTTTGTACTCTCTGAATTCTTTGGGATATGAAGTTTTTAGTATTTTTAAGTAAAAGAAACAAAAAAGGTTAACACAAGGGGAATAACACCACTATTCAAATAGAAATAGTAAGCAGTGTGTTTTATATATCATATAGTTAAATCAGTATAAATAATCATAAAGGTCAAACAATTGTAAATAACATTCTATTATAACTTAGTCTGCATAAACACAAAAAGCAATAAAATTAAGTGTTGTATATGGGGTTTACAGAAGAGAGAAATAATGGGCCAAACGAATAAACAATAAAGGATAATAGTGTTATAAAATATAAAGAATAGGGAATAATCAGCAAACCAATAAACAATAAAGGATAATAGTGTTATAAAATATAAAGAATAGGGAATACTTGGGCCAAACGAATAAACAATAAAGGATAATAGTGATATAAAATATAAAGAATAGGGAATAATCAGCAAACCAATAAACAATAAAGGATAATAGTGTTATAAAATATAAAGAATAGGGAATACTTGGGCCAAACGAATAAACAATAAAGGATAATAGTGTTATAAAATATAAAGAATAGGGAATAATCAGCAAACCAATAAACAATAAAGGATAATAGTGTTATAAAATATAAAGAATAGGGAATACTTGGGCCAAACGAATAAACAATAAAGGATAATAGTGATATAAAATATAAAGAATAGGGAATAATCAGCAAACCAATAAACAATAAAGGATAATAGTGTTATAAAATATAAAGAATAGGGAATAATCAGCAAACGAATAAACAATAAAGGATAATAGTGTTATAAAATATAAAGAATAGGGAATACTTGGGCCAAACGAATAAACAATAAAGGATAATAGTGTTATAAAATATAAAGAATAGGGAATAATCAGCAAACGAATAAACAATAAAGGATAATAGTGTTATAAAATATAAAGAATAGGGAATACTTGGGCCAAACGAATAAACAATAAAGGATAATAGTGATATAAAATATAAAGAATAGGGAATACTTGGGCCAAACGAATAAACAATAAAGGATAATAGTGTTATAAAATATAAAGAATAGGGAATACTTGGGCCAAACGAATAAACAATAAAGGATAATAGTGTTATAAAATATAAAGAATAGGGAATACTTGGGCCAAACGAATAAACAATCAAGGATAATAGTGATATAAAATATAAAGAATAGGGAATAATCAGCAAACCAATAAACAATAAAGGATAATAGTGTTATAAAATATAAAGAATAGGGAATAATCAGCAAACGAATAAACAATAAAGGATAATAGTGTTATAAAATATAAAGAATAGGGAATAATCAGCAAACCAATAAACAATAAAGGATAATAGTGTTATAAAATATAAAGAATAGGGAATAATCAGCAAACCAATAAACAATAAAGGATAATAGTGTTATAAAATATAAAGAATAGGGAATACTTGGGCCAAACGAATAAACAATAAAGGATAATAGTGATATAAAATATAAAGAATAGGGAATACTTGGGCCAAATGAATAAACAATAAAGGATAATAGTGTTATAAAATATAAAGAATAGGGAATACTTGGGCCAAACGAATAAACAATAAAGGATAATAGTGATATAAAATATAAAGGAATAGGGAATAATCAGCAAACCAATAAACAATAAAGGATAATAGTGTTATAAAATATAAAGAATAGGGAATAATCAGCAAACGAATAAACAATAAAGGATAATAGTGTTATAAAATATAAAGAATAGGGAATACTTGGGCCAAACCAATAAACAATAAAGGATAATAGTGTTATAAAATATAAAGAATAGGGAATAATCAGCAAACCAATAAACAATAAAGGATAATAGTGTTATAAAATATAAAGAATAGGGAATAATCAGCAAACGAATAAACAATAAAGGATAATAGTGTTATAAAATATAAAGAATAGGGAATACTTGGGCCAAACGAATAAACAATAAAGGATAATAGTGTTATAAAATATAAAGAATAGGGAATAATCAGCAAACGAATAAACAATAAAGGATAATAGTGTTATAAAATATAAAGAATAGGGAATACTTGGGCCAAACCAATAAACAATAAAGGATAATAGTGTTATAAAATATAAAGAATAGGGAATAATCAGCAAACCAATAAACAATAAAGGATAATAGTGTTATAAAATATAAAGAATAGGGAATAATCAGCAAACGAATAAACAATAAAGGATAATAGTGTTATAAAATATAAAGAATAGGGAATACTTGGGCCAAACGAATAAACAATAAAGGATAATAGTGATATAAAATATAAAGAATAGGGAATACTTGGGCCAAATGAATAAACAATAAAGGATAATAGTGATATAAAATATAAAGAATAGGGAATAATCAGCAAACCAATAAACAATAAAGGATAATAGTGTTATAAAACATAAAGAATAGGGAATACTTGGGCCAAACGAATAAACAATAAAGGATAATAGTGATATAAAATATAAAGGAATAGGGAATAATCAGCAAACCAATAAACAATAAAGGATAATAGTGTTATAAAATATAAAGAATAGGGAATACTTGGGCCAAATGAATAAACAATAAAGGATAATAGTGTTATAAAATATAAAGAATAGGGAATAATCAGCAAACCAATAAACAATAAAGGATAATAGTGTTATAAAATATAAAGAATAGGGAATACTTGGGCCAAACGAATAAACAATAAAGGATAATAGTGATATAAAATATAAAGAATAGGGAATACTTGGGCCAAATGAATAAACAATAAAGGATAATAGTGTTATAAAATATAAAGAATAGGGAATACTTGGGCCAAACGAATAAACAATAAAGGATAATAGTGATATAAAATATAAAGAATAGGGAATACTTGGGCCAAATGAATAAACAATAAAGGATAATAGTGTTATAAAATATAAAGAATAGGGAATACTTGGGCCAAACGAATAAACAATAAAGGATAATAGTGCTATAAAATATAAAGGAATAGGGAATAATCAGCAAACCAATAATCAATAAAGGATAATAGTGTTATAAAATATAAAGAATAGGGAATAATCAGCAAACGAATAAACAATAAAGATAATAGTGTTATAAAATATAAAGAATAGGGAATAATCAGCAAACCAATAAACAATAAAGGATAATAGTGTTATAAAATATAAAGAATAGGGAATACTTGGGCCAAACGAATAAACAATAAAGGATAATAGTGATATAAAATATAAAGAATAGGGAATAATCAGCAAACCAATAAACAATAAAGGATAATAGTGTTATAAAATATAAAGAATAGGGAATACTTGGGACAAACGAATAAACAATAAAGGATAATAGTGATATAAAATATAAAGAATAGGGAATACTTGGGCCAAACGAATAAACAATAAAGGATAATAGTGATATAAAATATAAAGGAATAGGGAATACTTGGGCCAAACGAATAAACAATAAAGGATAATAGTGTTATAAAATATAAAGAATAGGGAATACTTGGGCCAAACGAATAAACAATAAAGGATAATAGTGTTATAAAATATAAAGAATAGGGAATAATCAGCAAACCAATAAACAATAAAGGATAATAGTGTTATAAAATATAAAGAATAGGGAATAATCAGCAAACGAATAAACAATAAAGGATAATACTGTTATAAAATATAAAGAATAGGGAATAATCAGCAAACGAATAAACAATAAAGGATAATAGTGTTATAAAATATAAAGAATAGGGAATAATCAGCAAACCAATAATCAATAAAGGATAATAGTGTTATAAAATATAAAGAATAGGGAATAATCAGCAAACGAATAAACAATAAAGGATAATAGTGTTATAAAATATAAAGAATAGGGAATAATCAGCAAACCAATAAACAATAAAGGATAATAGTGTTATAAAATATAAAGAATAGGGAATAATCAGCAAACGAATAAACAATAAAGGATAATAGTGTTATAAAATATAAAGAATAGGGAATAATCAGCAAACCAATAAACAATAAAGGATAATAGTGTTATAAAATATAAAGAATAGGGAATACTTGGGCCAAACGAATAAACAATAAAGGATAATAGTGATATAAAATATAAAGAATAGGGAATAATCAGCAAACCAATAAACAATAAAGGATAATAGTGTTATAAAATATAAAGAATAGGGAATACTTGGGCCAAACGAATAAACAATAAAGGATAATAGTGATATAAAATATAAAGAATAGGGAATAATCAGCAAACCAATAAACAATAAAGGATAATAGTGTTATAAAATATAAAGAATAGGGAATACTTGGGCCAAACGAATAAACAATAAAGGATAATAGTGATATAAAATATAAAGAATAGGGAATAATCAGCAAACCAATAAACAATAAAGGATAATAGTGTTATAAAATATAAAGAATAGGGAATAATCAGCAAACGAATAAACAATAAAGGATAATAGTGTTATAAAATATAAAGAATAGGGAATAATCAGCAAACGAATAAACAATAAAGGATAATAGTGTTATAAAATATAAAGAATAGGGAATAATCAGCAAACGAATAAACAATAAAGGATAATAGTGTTATAAAATATAAAGAATAGGGAATAATCAGCAAACCAATAAACAATAAAGGATAATAGTGTTATAAAATATAAAGAATAGGGAATAATCAGCAAACCAATAAACAATAAAGGATAATAGTGTTATAAAATATAAAGAATAGGGAATAATCAGCAAACCAATAAACAATAAAGGATAATAGTGTTATAAAATATAAAGAATAGGGAATACTTGGGCCAAACGAATAAACAATAAAGGATAATAGTGATATAAAATATAAAGAATAGGGAATAATCAGCAAACCAATAAAACAATAAAGGATAATAGTGTTATAAAATATAAAGAATAGGGAATACTTGGGCCAAACGAATAAACAATAAAGGATAACAGTGATATAAAATATAAAGAATAGGGAATAATCAGCAAACCAATAAACAATAAAGGATAATAGTGTTATAAAATATAAAGGAATAGGGAATACTTGGGCCAAACGAATAAACAATAAAGGATAATAGTGTTATAAAATATAAAGAATAGGGAATACTTGGGCCAAACGAATAAACAATAAAGGATAATAGTGTTATAAAATATAAAGAATAGGGAATAATCAGCAAACCAATAAACAATAAAGGATAATAGTGTTATAAAATATAAAGAATAGGGAATAATCAGCAAACCAATAAACAATAAAGGATAATAGTGATATAAAATATAAAGAATAGGGAATACTTGGGCCAAACGAATAAACAATAAAGGATAATAGTGTTATAAAATATAAAGAATAGGGAATACTTGGGCCAAACGAATAAACAATAAAGGATAATAGTGTTATAAAATATAAAGAATAGGGAATACTTGGGCCAAACGAATAAACAATAAAGGATAATAGTGTTATAAAATATAAAGAATAGGGAATAATCAGCAAACCAATAAACAATAAAGGATAATAGTGTTATAAAATATAAAGAATAGGGAATAATCAGCAAACGAATAAACAATAAAGGATAATACTGTTATAAAATATAAAGAATAGGGAATAATCAGCAAACGAATAAACAATAAAGGATAATAGTGTTATAAAATATAAAGAATAGGGAATAATCAGCAAACCAATAATCAATAAAGGATAATAGTGTTATAAAATATAAAGAATAGGGAATAATCAGCAAACCAATAAACAATAAAGGATAATAGTGTTATAAAATATAAAGAATAGGGAATAATCAGCAAACGAATAAACAATAAAGGATAATAGTGTTATAAAATATAAAGAATAGGAAATAATCAGCAAACCAATAAACAATAAAGGATAATAGTGTTATAAAATATAAAGAATAGGGAATACTTGGGCCAAACGAATAAACAATAAAGGATAATAGTGATATAAAATATAAAGAATAGGGAATAATCAGCAAACCAATAAACAATAAAGGATAATAGTGTTATAAAATATAAAGAATAGGGAATACTTGGGCCAAACGAATAAACAAAAAAGGATAATAGTGATATAAAATATAAAGAATAGGGAATAATCAGCAAACCAATAAACAATAAAGGATAATAGTGTTATAAAATATAAAGAATAGGGAATAATCAGCAAACGAATAAACAATAAAGGATAATAGTGTTATAAAATATAAAGAATAGGGAATAATCAGCAAACGAATAAACAATAAAGGATAATAGTGTTATAAAATATAAAGAATAGGGAATAATCAGCAAACCAATAATCAATAAAGGATAATAGTGTTATAAAATATAAAGAATAGGGAATAATCAGCAAACGAATAAACAATAAAGGATAATAGTGTTATAAAATATAAAGAATAGGGAATAATCAGCAAACCAATAAACAATAAAGGATAATAGTGTTATAAAATATAAAGAATAGGGAATAATCAGCAAACCAATAAACAATAAAGGATAATAGTGTTATAAAATATAAAGAATAGGGAATAATCAGCAAACCAATAAACAATAAAGGATAATAGTGTTATAAAATATAAAGAATAGGGAATACTTGGGCCAAACGAATAAACAATAAAGGATAACAGTGATATAAAATATAAAGAATAGGGAATAATCAGCAAACCAATAAACAATAAAGGATAATAGTGTTATAAAATATAAAGAATAGGGAATACTTGGGCCAAACGAATAAACAATAAAGGATAATAGTGATATAAAATATAAAGAATAGAGAATAATCAGCAAACCAATAAACAATAAAGGATAATAGTGTTATAAAATATAAAGAATAGGGAATACTTGGGCCAAACGAATAAACAATAAAGGATAATAGTGTTATAAAATATAAAGAATAGGGAATAATCAGCAAACCAATAAACAATAAAGGATAATAGTGTTATAAAATATAAAGAATAGGGAATACTTGGGCCAAACGAATAAACAATAAAGGATAATAGTGATATAAAATATAAAGAATAGGGAATAATCAGCAAACCAATAAACAATAAAGGATAATAGTGTTATAAAATATAAAGAATAGGGAATAATCAGCAAAATAAATTAAGAAGAGAAAACAAGGGTAAATAAATGGAGAATGTGCCCCCATGGACACAGATGATGCACCTGCTTGCATACAACATTATAAAGGGACATAACACAAGAACAATAAAAGTGACACTACCCAAATTTGTACTTGATCTTAGTTTTGTGGTCATAAGTATTGTGTATAGGTTTCATGTTTGGTTGGGGCAAACTTACTTTACAGAACGGAAACTAAAAATTCTGCAATGTTTCGATTTATAAAGGGGCATAACTCAATAATGGTTAAAGTGACACTACCCAAATTCAACTTGATCTGTGTTTTATCAGTGGAAGGCAAAATTAAACATTGCATTGTATAAAGTGTTGATTGTAATTGATTCAACTAAAATCATGGACAAAGGAAGATAACTCCAATTTTAATAAACTGCTTGGCTGAGCGCAGCTGGATACGCCGGCAGAGGTCCAACCCTGATTAGTTGGGGCAAAAATGGACACAATATTCAAGCTTGATACAGGTCTGAATTTGGATTGTAATTAAATATTTGACATATTATAGGTTTCTGAGTAAGTGTAGTCAAAGAACTTAAAATTGGTTATATGAATTGAATTTATCTTCAATTAAAGATTTCTTACTGTTGTGCAATACTTAGTAAATCTGTTGTCAGACTATAAACAAATAAAGTTCAATTTCTTCTCAATGTCATATTTGAAATTTATGAAAATCAATAGGGAGAATTACATCAATAGCTATAAATAATTCACCAAAGTTTCATGAGAACTGCTGAAAGCATTTTTGAGTTATTGTCCAAAAAATGGAAAATCCCCCCTTTTTTAATGAATAAAACCCCATAACTCAGAAATGTAAAATCTAAGATTTATAAATTCTAAAGGGAGCTTACATCAACAGATATAAACAATTCACCAAAGTTTCATGAGAACTGCTGAAAGCATTTTTTAGTTATTGTCCGAAAACTGGAAAATCCCCCTTTTTTATGAATAAAACCCTGCAACTCGGAAACGTAAAATCTAAAATTTATAAAAATTGAAAGGGAGCTCATGTCAATAGATATAAACAATAACCCAAAATTCCTTGCAAGTTGGTGAAAGCATTCTTGAGATATTGTCGGAAAACTGGAAAATCCTCCCTTTTTTAATGAATAAAACCTCAAAATTCGTGTATTGTGGTAATAAGCATTGTGTATAAGTTTGATAACATTTGGTTGAGGCAAACTCAAGTTAGAGAACAGAAACCAATTTTGGGACGTACGTACGGACAGACAAGGGTAAAACTTAATGCCCCATCCGCTTCGGCGGGGGCATAAAAATTAAAGAAACTGAAATGAAAACCCTTCCATCTGGACTCTCAGTATGTAGCAGGCAATGTGAAAAGATCAGTGTTTATTTTTGATAGGAACCTACAGGTCATGGACCTAAAAATAAAATTCAGGGAAAACATTTGAACAACTTCTGGAAAATTGCACTATGGGACTGCATCATCAATTATTAATAAATTGAAACAGAAAATAAAGGGCATTAAAATAGGGTATTTTGTGGGTAATATATTTATCAGAAAACAACAAAGGTGGTTATGCAACAAACAAAACTTACAGTAAATATTATCAAATAACTTACATTAGCAACAATTTTAGCTTCTTTATACTGCTCTTCATAAAACAATTGACTAGTTTCTAACATCTCTATAAGTGCTCCTTTCTCTATCAGGTCTTTATTGGCACTGGAAACATAGTCTTCTAACTTATTGCAGGATTCTTCAAACTGCTTAGAAAACTGGTTACCATGAGCCTTGTCTATAATGAGAAAATTTCCATTCACAGGTCACAAAAAATAATAAAAGTAAATATTGTAAATCATGAATAGCTGAAGTAAGTTCAGGGTAATTTTTGAAAGAGTTTTCAAGTGTATTGCACAATATATATAAGTTGCTTGCAGATAGTTATTTCAAGTCAGAATTATTTTCAGATGACTAAATAGCTGATATAATGTGGATTCATTTTTATTCGTGGCATACCAATTTTCGTGGGTTTTTGTAGGTCACATTAAACCATGAATTTAAGATGTCAACGAAGAATAATCCTGAAAAATATGTATTTTTGAGTTGGATGTTTATTTCCGGTTATATTATGCAATTCTAAAAAATCAATAATTAAGTACCTTCAAACCAATTCAGATATTCATATTGAAGGCATTTATTGACATATGCCTACTGCAGAAGTACAACTTAATTATACTTATAAGTTACAGCCCATTAGATAATTGCACAGCCTAACTAATGTATGAGTGATTTTAGAACAAACTTTGGTTCTAGAATATTTGCTGTTTATTACTATTTTGGGGATTTTAAAACTAAATCATCCAGCCATCGTTGTCCTGTCCAATCAGGCTGAAGACCACAATTAATGACCCTGCTTTTCGTTGTCCACGAATATAGTTCCTTTCAATTAGAGTGTATTTTTTCTAATTTTTTTTTCTTTCCCTTCTTAGTTTTTTTTTGGGTGGAAATGAAAGAAGAGAGGTGAAATAAACTTTTGGATGTTGTATTTTAACTGATTTTGATATGGAAAGTGTGATTAGGCCAGGTGCAAAAAGGTGATATTTACAGTTTTCGGAACATCTCTTGACTTGTCCATAGGGGTATGGATGTGTTTTGGCTAATTTGTAAGATACTGGAGAGCAATCTTTCTGAATAATGGATATATGTTTGGACTAGCACTGTACTTTATGGTATCTAATGTAGATGTTTAACTCATTTTTGAACACTGAACACACAAAAAAAGTAGATAAAATCAGAATAAGAGTGCAAAATGTGCTGCTTTAATGGTCTTAGTCTAACGGTCAGTATGAAGCAAGTGAAAAATGAGGTTCTATGCACATACAAGTTGAATTCCTTTAAGCAGATTTCACTGAATCTGTATCAAAAGCACTTATTACTGGTTGTTTGACCTTGTCTGTTTCACAGACTACCTTTATTTTCTTTTGTTTGATAGCTAGTGGTTAAAATATTGGCCTTTTGAGGCTGAAATTTCATGCCGGTTTTAAAAAGTACAGTAAATAACTTTGCATCAGACCATACTGTCTACATATATAGTTGAAAGTGACAGTCTTGTTACATCCAGGCTCCATGTTTTATCATATCTAAGCAAAGATTTGAGCAAAAAGAAGCATATCTCCATCTCCCATATCATTTATATGCTTTTTAATATGCAAATGTGGGGAACGACCTAAATTGACAACCTGTTTTTTTAAGCTTGACATTGCTTTAGACCATTTTATTCACATGTGTTATGCTATTTGAAACTTATATTTCCATTAAAAGTACATTTATAACATGTAAAAGGTTTTTTATAACTTAACAACTTCAGAAAATTGTGGTAAGTGAAAATATTACATTTCATATAAGGCATCACTTCATTTGAAAACCTCTGTTTTTTGGCACAGGCTCATATAAAATTAACTTCTGGCCATTTTTTATAAGTCTGAAACATGAAGTATGCTATCTGTTGCTTTTAATAGGTGATAACTTATACATAGAGACATTAAAAAGTGTAAGTTTTGGCATATTTTGGTTTTTAGAAGCCCAAATTTGATAGTTGAAATTGTTCTAATTCAACACCACAATTCAGCACCCAAAGTTCAGATATAAAAAATGCCACATTTTTTATAATTGGTATCATATGGCTTTGAAACTTTGTAAACTGTTTCATAATACACTAAGCTTAAATCATGCCAAATTTTATTAGAATTGGTCAAGTTTTAGACCCCTAATAGGCTGAAGACCACAATTAATGACCCTGCTTTTCGTTGTCCACGAATATAGTTCCTTTTAATTAGAGTGTATTTTTTCTTAATTTTTTTTCTTTCCCTTCCTCACTCATTTCTTAGTTTTTTTTGGGTGGAAATAAAAAAAGAGAGACGAAATAAACTTTTGGATGTTGTATTTTAACTGATTTTGATATGGAAAGAGTGATTAGGCCAGGTGCAAAAAGGTGATATTTACAGTTTTCGGAACATCTCTTGACTTGTCCATAGGGGTATGGATGTGTATTGGCTAAATTTGTAAGATACTGGAGAGCAATCTTTCTGAATGTTGGATATATGTTTGGACTAGTACTGTACTTTACACACACAAAATATTTGACAAAAAGATACGGTGCATTTTTTTAATGAAACAAAACGCTATAAAGAACTAATAGAGGAATTTAATTGTGGTCTGTGGCCATCATAGGGTCTTATGCAAAAAAAAACGAAAAAAAAAACATAAATGCAGAAGAAACAAATTATCTTTTGATTGGTTCATGAGTAACAATATTTTTCCTCTCACAAGTAAATTTTAGATTTTTAAAAATCTAAATTTCAAACTATCTTGAGTGGAGAAATATCATTTCTCACTTGCAACAGAAAAATACTCATTTTTTTATTATTTTCTTTTTAACTTGAGTATATTGTGTTCCCTAATTTCATGTTGAATATTTTAAAAAACATGTTAATGTTCAAAATGGATATACAGTAGGTTTATACAAGAGAAACTTTAATCAATGTGTGGTTTATCAAACTTTATAGGAGGCACACAGAATTAAAGAAATAATTTCAACCACCTCACTGAGTGTTATATAATAGCTCCCACCAATGACAGAAACAACTGCCAGCATAAAAACATCACCTTTTAACTGTTTGATAGCTTCTGTACTTGAGGCATCCAGTTTCATGTTTGACAATTGTTTTCTTTTCAGTTCTACTTCAGCTTCAAATCTCTTGTAGTTGTTGATCTTATCTATTAGACTCTGAGGCTGTAATATACAAAAGTCTACAATTATCAAATTAACATCTTTATTCATTACAATATAAGCAAAATATGACTGATTGATTTTTGGTGTTTTAACGCCACTTTTAAGCACTGCTTTTGGGCTATTTCGTGGCGGCCAGTTTTTATTGGTGGAGGAAGCAGGAGTGCCCGGAGAAAACCACTGACCTTCAATAGGAAAACTGACAATCCTAGTCAATTAAGATTGGAGTCGAGTGCACCTGCACGAGTGGGGTTCGAACTCACAACCTCAGTGTTGACTGGCCAGTGATTACAGTAGTAACTACTTAGACCACTCGGCCATCGAGGCCCCCTAAGCAAAATATGAAGACAGAAGCTAGCTTAATGTGTCAATATGACACAATTGACTTGAAAATGGGTCATTTTTCCTTCAGATAGTGCTAACTTCATCTGTAAGTCATTATTATAATTTAGTTTTATATCTGGAAGCACAGCTGATAAAAATTGACAAGTACAATTTCATGACATTTTCCAAGTAAATGGTGTGCAATTCCATTACAAAAGATCCACAAAGGGAAAATCAATCTGTAATCAATCATTCATATTCAAGAAATTAAAAAATATTATATCAGTGGCTGCAGGCATGACCAAATAAAATGTGTTCATCAGACAGGATAATCAGCTTACACTCTCACATTTCCATGTGCAGTGAACTGCCAAATTCTAAGTTGAAACCCTATTTGGCATATATTTTTTAAAAGTCCACATGATGAAGAACATGTGTACTGAGTTTCAAGTCAATGTGTCCACAACTTTATAGTAAACTGCTTAATACCATAAACATAATGATCCTTCAACCATTGCAGGGCATAAAAAGTCTCAACAAAAGTAGTGATTAAAATTCTGTGAGGGTAGTAATTTCTTCAAAAAGTAGGTCAAAGTCAATCTGTGATTCCTGATTATATGTATAAATATAAAAATAAGCAGTTATAGGCAACAGTATATGCAACTGCGTACCAAAATTTAAATCAGGTAAGTATAAGTCTGAGATTGCTCTGACATCTGATGGCCATCATAAGACTTGCTGGGGCTGTGAGGTATGTCAGAGCACAGTATATAAAAAACAAAGTAAATTAAGTAATTGCCAAACAAATTTTGGGGCAGCAAATTTCTGTCTTGAAATAGTAATAGATCCATTTTCAGGCAGATATATCATACATCATTTTATGTCTTATTCATTGGAGACCGATGTTTCTGCCCAGTGCAACCTAAGATCTGGTTAAGCTCTTCTTTAATAAATATTGAATTAGTTTTTGGAGTACTTTATTGCATCAATGTAGTTTTGGAGTATTCACCTTAAATTCTGCTATAACCTGTGGATCTATATTAACTGGGTATGTAGCAACAGGTTTAGCAACTGGCTGTTGTGTTGCTGTTACCGTTGGAGTACTAGAAGAACTATGATTAGCCACAGGTGTAGGTGTGCTGTGCGTAGAACTCTCTTTTGATTCTGAAATAAATATCATAATAAGCACATAATGTTTTCTTTGTAACATTAAAATTAAGACCTTTTTAGTATCTTCTTAATGCTAAGTATAGTGAGACCCAACAATCAATAGAAAGTTACAAGCACTTGCTTTTAATGACACAAAGATCCAGTATTTCCTGAAATCGCAATAATATCCTATTTTCCTCCATTGTTCCAACAATGGCAATAATAAATGCACACATTTTTTGTTTATTTACAGTTCTTCATTGATGTTTCCCCCAACATCTTCCATTCCTAGTCAATGTATGTGTGAAGTATTGACTATTAAGATCTTTTACTGTCAGAATATATACAGTCACAATTCAACAGATTTCTGTTTTAAGACAAGTACCATACAATACAAACCATAAAGTTCTGTGATCTCTGCTAAAAAGTCTTTTGGAAAAATATGTCTTTCTCTCCATATCTTCAATATCCTTGTTACATTTTTTGCAATTGATTCATCCCTACAAAACATTTAACATATGATGATATAAATACATGATACATCTAGATTACTAATAATTACATGTTATTGATGATCTTCACTTTGGATATGGACTCGTATTTCTTGTCTGTGCTTTATGTCTCTTAAGAGTCGGGTCAAGGGGATATGGGGCACTGACAGAGAATATGAATTGGATACATTAGTTTCTATTATTTTCTTAATATGTAGTCAAAAAAAAAAACAATTTCGTAATTTCAATTTTCATATGTGCTTTTGGGCATGCTTCAAGGCATGTTTAAGTACTTTGAAAGAGTTTCTGATTTCTTTTCAAAATTGGCAGTCTTTCAATCAAACAATGTAACTATATTTTCTATTGATCATGTTAATAATTCTTTACAGGATTTAACATCCCTTCCTTCCCTTTTTCTTCTTTTAATAATTTTGTGATTGACTTTTCCCAATAAGTTGAAAGTGTGGTTAAATTGTTTCAGCTGGTAAAAACTTATAACAGCAGATTTCATGTTCATTACTGGAAGCTTTGAAGACATGTACATGTGCAGCATTTATATTTGGACCAACATTTAGAAGGCAGTTGGCTAATCTTTCATTTACAGAAACTAGAAAGTCTATTCTAAATTTCAGAAAACTTCACAGGGTCATATACAAAATGTATAACAAGATAATAAAGCATCCTGCTGAATTTTGATTAACAGCCTAAAAACATCTTTGTAACTTTGGGCACGCCTAACAAACTTGAAAGTAATTAATCCCCCCCCCCCTGAATACAACTTACTTGACTAGAACAATAGCATCTCTTAAAACATCCTTATAAACCTCAATGTATACTGTAGCTTTCTTGCGTTTTCCGTTCTGGACAATGTCATTACAAAGATTAAATAATGCCAGTTTCTGCTTTGTATGGGCTGAAAAAGAATTAAATTCAAATAGTTTATTTTCATATATAATACAGACTTAGGGTGGACATTGTCCTTATGCTAGGTAAATCTTTTAAAAACATTTGAACTCTTTTTTTTATTAAGTTACTGTCTTAATAGATGAAGCTAGGGAAACTATCAAAGTAGGAATGTTTTGTGTCACAATGAAAAAGCTGAGAGACAATAGCAAATGTGATGTTTGAAGTTGTTTTCATTCATGTATGCTTCAAGTTCAAACCTTATAAACCATTTTGATGTTTTCTATACACAAAAAAATCAACGGAAAACAGTTAATTTTTTCCACTAAATTGCACTGATTTTAAGCATGATTTTGCTTCTTTCAGTTGCTCTTACTTGACAAGAGTACCAGAATGTCCTAACGCAGATAAGGAAACCTGTCAAAAAATTACACACTCCCAGGTCATTAGTCGGTAATATGAAATTGATCTATTACACATGTATATATACCTGCAGCTTTCAAGAATACAAGTTGAAATTAGTTCAGTGTGAATCCACATTTCTATTTCATCATGTTGATTTTATATTTCAATTCAAATCTTTATTAATAAACTCATAGATACCTTATACATACATGACATACTTAATTAATACAAAAAATTTGTAAGGGTTCTACGGAACCCAGTGTCTCGCCTACTTTTTCTGTAAATTGCAGGCTCAACAAAAATGAGGACGTAAATCAATGAAAATATTCCACTTGATACTATCTTTTGATTGTAAGAAGCTTATGTCCAAGTTTGGTAAAAATCAAGGATAGTTTATGAATCTAATAAATGTTTAAAAACTTTAACTGCAGACTGAATGTAATGTTAACTGGGAGAAAACAAAATTTCCTTCTAAATACTAGCTTTTGATCATAAACAAGCTTCTGTGCAAGTTTGGTACAAATCCAAAATAGTATAAGAAAGTTATTAAAATTTTAAAAACTTTAACCATAGAGTGAATGTGTTGTTTCCTGGAAGAAATCTAAGTCCATTTAAAAGTAAAATAAGGAAAAAATGGATTTATTTTTTTACAAAATTTACTTCTGGATACTATCTTATGATCATAAACAAGCTTCTGTCCAAGTTTGGTACAAACCCAGGATAGTTTAAGAAAGTTATTAAAATTTTAAAAACTTTAACCACAGAGTGAATGTAATATTTCCCGGCAGAAAAACTAAGTTCATTTATAAGTAAAATATGGAAAAAATGGAATTTTATTTTTACAAAATTTACTTCTGGATACTATCTTGTGATCATAAACAAGCTTCTGTCCAAGTTTGGTAGAAATCCAGGATAGTTTAAGAAAGTTATTAAAATTTCAAAAACTTTAACCACAGAGTGAATATTTGTGGACGCCGCCGACGCCGACGGAATGTAGGATCGCTACGTCTCGCTTTTTCGACTAAAGTTGAAGGCTCGACAAAAAGCAAAGTTAAGGTTTTTGTTTTATTTACTATTTGAATTCATTATTCATTAGTATTTTAATCTCAAATTACATTATTTGTTTTTGTATTTTACCAAAAGCAATGTAGTCTTTCAAAAAGTTAACTACTAGGACCATCTATACATTCAACTCAAAACTGTCTATGCATGGAGTCAGTATGCCATCAAAGACATTAATACAGTCAGTCGCCTCCTTAGAAAGTGGAATACATCTATGGATCATCCATTTAAGTGCATTTTGTCAGTGTTCTATTGTAGTGAATTTTGATGGTAAGGGATGAACTTTTATTTCTAGTTCATGAGATAAAATTTACTTTGTTCTTAGATCAAACTTTAGTGCTTGGTTATGAAATTTCAATTTCTAGTTAATGAGTTGAACTTACTTTTAAATTAGTGTTTTTAACTTTAGTGCTTAATTTGAACTTAAAACTAGGCTTAACTCTTGTACTTAACAGTTCAATAGATACATAAAGCACGCAGTGTTTAACCTGCAGAAAAAATGCATGCCTTCAATATATTGTCTTCGAAAAGTTAATAAAATAAGCATTCTGAGAGTATTGCATGGCAATACATAGTCCCCTACCGGTTAAGAATTCATTGTGTTGGAACAAAATGCTAACTTGATCTATAACTTGTCATCGTGTAAACTATATTACAAATATCTAGCCAATATCTTCAAGCATGACGAAAGAAAAAGCGGAAAACTGATTATTTGACTGAATTTTCTAAATCCAAGGACCAGAACTCTGGACAAAATCTTCAGACAAGAACAAAATCAAACTTGATCTATATCTTGTCAAGATAAAACTATATACTAATTGTTAAATCAATATCTTCAAGCATCATTTTGAGCATGACAAATAAAAGTTTGGAACAGATTCAGGGGTCAAAATTAACTTTATAAGGCCAGTAGCCAGCTGGGCTACTAGACTTGAAAATCAGTTAGCCCAGACAAAAAGTTAGTAGCTCACTTTACTTCGGTATGACCGGTGAAGCTCGCGAAGCGAGCTGAACTTGCTAGGGGGGTTTGGGGGCATGCCCCCCCCCCCCCCTGAAAATTTTGAATTTTTAGACTCAAAATCCTGCATTCTGTGCATACTTGGAGGTGATTTAGATGCTTGGGAAAAAGTAAATTTTGTCTTATTTTAGTTGTTGACTTCAATCAAATTTAATAAAAAAAATCATTTACAAAATGGGAATCTTAATTCATGCCGTGTGTACCAGTTTTTTTTACATATCTTTTTTTTGTTAGACAACTAAAGAATTCTCTGTCCTTGAATACATGTAGATGATAGATAAAATATTTAATTTTATTTCTATAATAATCTAATTTATTAAATATCTTGGTCTATTTATTTTGCGTAACTACGTACATTTGTAAACAAATGACCCACCTTTTTTCTCAAACTTGTACACGTATTTCAAAAGCATTGCCATAAAATTGATATCTCCTCTGATTTTCTCTTTTTTGTAAACTGATCAGTAAGTAGGAAACTAAAATCATTTTGAACTAATGTTATCTATTTGTGGTCGACAATATTCTACTTTCGTTTTTGACATTCATTCTCTGGACACCACGTGGGCTTTGAAAAGGGAACTACAAAAGGTACTGTTTTCCAGATTCTTAGGGAGCTACCATTTCATTTTTATGGTGGGGGGGGGGGGGGGGGGGGACTAGGATGATAAATTTTGTCCTGCATTTTTTTTTAGTTGTAATCTCGGTCCTGCCTTTTTATTTTTCACTCTATTCGATCCTGCCTTTTTTTTATTAGTTTATCCTGACTTTTTCTACATAATTTGTCATCCTGCCTTTTTTTTTTGCCAAGTTGCTCATCCTGCCTTTTTTTTCCCTCAAAACTCCTGTCCTGCCTTTTTTTCAAATTTCATCCTAGCCCCCCCCCCCCCCCCCCCCCCCCCCATAAAAATCAAATGGTAGCTCCCTTAACATTATATATATTATACTTTCTTTTATTTGACTGATATTATTTCATAACATGCCATTGTCATCTTCTCTGACCTTCTTCGCTTTCTTGAAGCCAAAACCGAACAGGGTATTTGATCGCTTCACATTGTTAATGACCATCGGAACGTCTCTCTTGTTATCCTTGCAAACATACGATACTTTCTGACTTTAAATAGACGACCAATCAGTGACCTGAATTCACTTGAACTATATTAAGTCAAAGGTAACAATTATTTTACATCCTTGTTTATCGCGACTTTGCGACAATACGAGTCTCGACACTTGCCTGTATACATTTTAAAAAGATTTTTTTTTTTTTTATTTTTATTTTTGTCAGTGAAGTAGATGGCACTTGGAGCCACAACTGAATAAAAAGATCATCCAGGTCAATTTTTGGTCGCCATGGGCGACCGTTTATTTTTTTCCCTGAGATTATTTGAGTGAATTTTCTAAGTTCTAGGACCATAACTCTGGACAAAATCATCAGACCGGAACAAAATTCAAAATTGATCTGTAACTTGTCATGATAAAAAACTACATACCAAATATCAAATCAATATTTGCATGCATGACGAAAAAAAGTGCGGAAAACTGATTATTTGAGTGAATTTTCTAAGTTCAAGGACCATAACTCTATACAAAATCATCAGAACGCAACAAAATTCGAACTTGATCTGTAACTTGTCATGATAATACTACATACTAAATATCAAATCAATATCTGCATGCATGACGAAAAAAAGTGCGAAAAACTGATTATTTGAGTGAATTTTCTAAGTTCTAGGACCATAACTCTGGACAAAATCATCAGACCGCAACAAAATTCAACCTTGATCTGTAACTTGTCATGATGAAACTACATACCAAATATCAAATCAATATCTGCATGCATGACGAAAAAAAGTGCAGAAAACTGATTATTTGAGTGAATTTTCTAAGTTCAAGGACCATAACTCTGGACAAAATCATCAGACCGAAACAAAATTCGAACTTGATCTGTAACTTGTCATGATAAAACTATATACCAAATATCAAATCAATATTTTCAAGCATGAAGAAAAAAAGTATGGAAAACTGATTTGCCAGACTGACTGATGGACTGAGTGCAAACCTGAAGTCCCCTTCGACTTCGTCGGTAGGGGACTTATAAAAATTACACCAGTCACTGTCTAAACAATGGTCTTGAGTTGTCTTTATAGCCAGAATTAGTTGTTTACATACATGTACAAGAAGATCCTCCGAGTTGTCTTTTTTGTAAACAGTCATTTAATAATTTAAATAGTCCAAATCTACATTTTTGAGTTGAAATTTAAGACGGTTCTAGAATCTAAGAAGACTTTATAGACTTCAAAGTTTATTTACCGACGGTCTGCGTTGTTTTCATATACGGTCCCAATTGCCCTTTTTACGTCATATACCTATCTATATGTACCAGGGCTTCCAAAAAATATTTGACCCAGCCGGACATTTTACATCTCATCCCGATTTTAATCCCTTAAGACTAAGTCACAAAAGGCAATTAAGGTAATCAGATGGCCATCCCAATGATTGACATTAGATTTAAAAAAAAACGATATTAAACCTTTACTTTGATGTGAATTTGATGTTCGGGCGTAAACTGTTAAATTGGCAGTGCATAATTCGAAGTGTGCACATCAGCGTGCTCATAACTGCCTTAGACTCTTTATTTGTGCAAAATTACGTTGTCAAAAACTTTACTTTCGTTTTTAAAATCACATTTTCCTGATACCGGATGTTGACCTGACAATGGTAAAACATGGACCAGAAACGGATACGTAAAAATCTGTGTACGTTTACAAAGCACGACTGAGTGAAGAAGCTCTTTCCACGTTATTTCTTCAACAAAATACTTAAAATGAACGTTAGATACAGGTATCAATGATAATTTTTATCATTTTTTAAGAAATGTAGGATGCATAATTAAATTTCCCTACTGCGCACATGCGCACACGTGTTTTAGTTCATACAACGTAGTTCTTAAGATTTTTCATTTAAAACCTTTTTAAATTTTTCATCAAATCATGTTTAGAAACGTATTTCTTATAATTTCATTCTTTTGGACTAAATCATTTAGATAGAAACCGCTGAAATGTAAGAAATTAACTTTGAATAGACTGATCAATTTATACGATGTCCGGTACTGGAAATAGTTTACCTGTCACCTGAACAGGTAGATTTCAGCTGTCCAACAACTAATTAGCCTTGATTAAAATTAGAAAGTATTGAAGTAGGGGTTGTTTTGATAGTAATTAATCATCATGTCACTTTTATGACCGGAAATGTGTGGCTGTTAAAGGCAAAAGGTTGAATCAAAAAGATCGCGAATTATGTTAAAATGACTGTCTCTTAAGAAAGCCTTGAAAACTAAAAAGTAGATGACCGTTTCATGCTTTGCCCAGCCGGACTTTTACCGGACATTATACAAATGTCCGGAATATATGACCGTTTTGGAAGCCTTGATATGTACCCCTCTAGATGAGCCAGAAGAAGAAGCCATGCCATGTACTACAGTTGGGGTTGTCATGGATGGAAAAACCTATAAAACGCTAGTTAACAGTTCATTACCAGGGGCAGATCCAGCCATTTTTAAATGGGGGGTTCCCAACCCAGGATATAGGGGGGGTTCCAACTATATGTCCCCATTCAAATGCATTGATCGTCAAAAAAAAGGGGATCCTCCACTGATTACACAGTATTGGGATAAAAAAGCACATGGATAGACTTCTGTGAGACTGCATGATGAGCCCTGATTGGAGGAATTATATGTTCCAATCTAATCGTAGAGCGAAGCATTTATACACTGAAATAAAAAAATTATCCATATTTATAGTAATTTGTATGCTAATGAAGGTACTTAGTTTTCAGGCTTGCAATTGCATATACTTCTAACAGTTAAATAATGTTTGACTGGCAGTTTTATCTGTCTGCAGTATACACAATATGCAAAAAGTTATTTACGACCAGTCAGTTGGGAGTGTCTAAGTCCTACAGAGAAATATGGAACTAATCGACAGACTTATAAGTCAATTCTGACCAAAGAGGTTCTTTGCACCCCTACACAGGCTACAGAGCAACTAAATGCTCCAAGTCCGACGATAAAGGTAATTTTGTTTACTCTGAAGTTCTAATTTCATTGCAATCACTCTGAAATTAAAGAAATTGTGAGACAAACGAAATTACACGACAGCATCGCATGTGTGAATCAAAATAAGTTTATTTCTCATGTTTATCGGTTAAATGTCGGTTTATACCAGTTTATTTCCCCGTACCTTTCTTGACAACCTTTAACCACATTTCCACGATTTGTTTTGCATCTGTTTTGTGGTGAATAGCCCATAAGGAGAGGCTCTGAATGCTGTCTTGTGTATTTGATACACCCTGTAGTTTACGCTCAATATTTTCAACGTTAACGGACGCCATGTTGACCTAAAATTTGCAACTTGTTCACTAAAACCAAGATTTTCTACTTTCAATGAAGCTGTAGCAATTTCAGTACAAAGAGAGGTTAATTTTAGCTTGTTCTTTGGAATGCATTGATTATACAAATGTTAAAACAGGTCATATTTTGCAGGAAATTAGGCGACCACATTTCAATGTTTGGCAGCCATTTTGGGTGCTCACGTTGTCCCGGGATTTCATTTTTTTTGTATTTAATATTGAATTTTATTTTTAATCAAAGTGAGCAAATTGATTTTTTTTACAAAAAAACAAAACAAGACATAGTGGATGGATACTTATATGTAGAGAAAATTAAATTAATTTTGACAGGTTGAAGAAAACACGCGAAACATTCCGAAAATTGCGGCGTTGTTGCTTCACCTATACCGGATTACACGTGAATACTTATTCGAGTAGCCCGTTTATATGCGATCAGCAAATACTATATAATATGAGGCAGGCATTACCTGTGAAAGGGGACGAAGTCTATATAAAAATTTTTTTTTTAAAAGAAACGGAAATACCGTAACGTTTCCGATTTTGGTTCTGTTGTTAGGGATTTTAGTTGTGACGTTATTTTAGTTATGACGTCATATTCAATGTAAACAAAGAAACGCTATCATCAGGAAACGTTTTTTCATATCAAAGAATAATTAGAAATGAAATTGTTATTGTGTTCCTTCCTATATTTTACTGGACTGATAAATATATATTTCACTCAAAGTCTCATGACAAACGATACCGGAAGAAGGAAGTAGGTTTCTGCGCAAATGCGGGAATTAAAAAAAGTTACAAAAAAAAAGTTAACGATTTTGAGTTCATTAGTACAATGAAAATTTCGGGAAATTTTCCCGTTTTTTTTTTTTTTTTATTGATTTTTCTACCGTAATATGAGGCAGGCGTTACCTGTAGAAGGGGACGAAGTCTGTATGAATTAATTTTTTTTTAATTCAAACATGTTTTAACTTCAAAATCTGTTCAAAAAGAAAGGAAATACCCTTACGTTTCCGATTTCGGTTCTGTTGTTCGGAATTTTAGTTGTGACGTTATTTATATTATGACGTCATATTCAATGTAAACAAAGAAACGCTATCAGGTAACGTTTTTTCATATCAAGTCATTCAAGGAATTATTAAAAATGGAATTGGTATTGCGTTCCTTCCTATATTTTACTAGACTGATAAATATATATTTTACTCAAAGACTCATGCAAACGAGACCGGAAAAAGGAAGTAGATTTCTGAGCAAATGCGGGAAAATAAAAAAGTCTGAAAATAAAAAAGTTAACGATTTTGAGTTCATTAGTAGAATGAAAATTTCGGGAAATTTTCCCGATTTTTTTTATTTTTTTTTATTGATTTTTCTACCGTAATATGAGGCAGGCGTTACCTGTGAAAGGGGACGAAGTCTGTATGAATTATTTTTTTTTTAATTCAAACATATTTTAACTTCAAAATCTGTTCAAAAAAGAAACGGAAATACCCTTACGTTTCCGATTTCGGTTCTGTTGTTCGGAATTTTAGTTGTGACGTTATTTATGTTATGACGTCATATTCAATGTAAACAAAGAAACGCTATCAGGTAACGTTTTTTCATATCAAGCCATTCAAGGAATTATTAAAAATGGAATTGGTATTGCGTTCCTTCCTATATTGTACTAGACTGATATTTATATAAATTTTACCCAAAGACTCATGCAAACGAGACCGGAAAAAGGAAGTAGATTTCTGCGCAAATGCGGGAAAATAAAAAAGTCTGAAAATAAAAAAGTTAACGATTTTGAGTTCATTAGTAGAATGAAAATTTCGGGAAATTTTCCTGATTTTTTTTTTTTTTTTTTTTTTTATTGACGAAGTCCCCTAATATGAAAAAGAAAGGAAATACCCTTACGTTTCCGATTTCGGTTCTGTTGTTCGGAATTTTAGTTGTGACGTTATTTATATTATGACGTCATATTCAATGTAAACAAAGAAACGCTATCAGGTAACGTTTTTTCATATCAAGTCATTCAAGGAATTATTAAAAATGGAATTGGTATTGCGTTCCTTCCTATATTTTACTAGACTGATAAATATATATTTTACTCAAAGACTCATGCAAACGAGACCGGAAAAAGGAAGTAGATTTCTGAGCAAATGCGGGAAAATAAAAAAGTCTGAAAATAAAAAAGTTAACGATTTTGAGTTCATTAGTAGAATGAAAATTTCGGGAAATTTTCCCGATTTTTTTTATTTTTTTTTATTGATTTTTCTACCGTTATATGAGGCAGGCGTTACCTGTGAAAGGGGACGAAGTCTGTATGAATTTTTTTTTTTTTAATTCAAACATATCTTAACTTCAAAATCTGTTCAAAAAAGAAACGGAAATACCCTTACGTTTCCGATTTCGGTTCTGTTGTTCGGAATTTTAGTTGTGACGTTATTTATGTTATGACGTCATATTCAATGTAAACAAAGAAACGCTATCAGGTAACGTTTTTTCATATCAAGCCATTCAAGGAATTATTAAAAATGGAATTGGTATTGCGTTCCTTCCTATATTTTACTAGACTGATATTTATATAAATTTTACCCAAAGACTCATGCAAACGAGACCGGAAAAAGGAAGTAGATTTCTGCGCAAATGCGGATATTAAAAACTTTTTTTTGTAACTTTTTTTAATATCCGCATTTGCGCAGAAATCTACTTCCTTCTTCCGGTCTCGTTTGTCATGAGACTTTGAGTGAAATATATATTTATCAGTCCAGTAAAATATAGGAAGGAACACAATAACAATTGCATTTCTAATTATTCTTTGATATAAAAAACGTTACCTGATGATAGCGTTTCTTTGTTTACATTGAATATGACGTCATAACATAAATAACGTCACAACTAAAATCCCTAACAACAGACACAACAGAACCAAAATCGGAAACGTTACGCTATTTTCCGTTTCTTTTTTAACAGATTTAGAACTTAAAATATGTTTGAATTAAAAAAATAATTTATATAGACTTCGTCCCCTTTCACAGGTAATGCCTGCCTCATATTAAGGGGACGAAGTCCCCTATTACGGTAGAAAAATCAATAAAAAAAAAAAAAAAAAAAAAAATCGGGAAAATTTCCCGAAATTTTCATTGTACTAATGAACTCAAAATCGTTAACTTTTTTATTTTCAGACTTTTTTATTTTCCCGCATTTGCGCAGAAATCTACTTCCTTTTTCCGGTCTCGTTTGCATGAGTCTTTGAGTAAAATATATATTTATCAGTCTAGTAAAATATAGGAAGGAACGCAATACCAATTCCATTTTTAATAATTCCTTGAATGACTTGATATGAAAAAACGTTACCTGATAGCGTTTCTTTGTTTACATTGAATATGACGTCATAATATAAATAACGTCACAACTAAAATTCCGAACAACAGAACCGAAATCGGAAACGTAAGGGTATTTCCGTTCTTTTTGAACAGATTTTGAAGTTAAAACATATGTTTGAATTAAAAAAAAATAATTCATACAGACTTCGTCCCCTTTCACAGGTAACGCCTGCCTCATATTAGGGGACTACGTCAATAAAAAAAAAAAAAAAAAAAAAAATCAGGAAAATTTCCCGAAATTTTCATTCTACTAATGAACTCAAAATCGTTAACTTTTTTATTTTCAGACTTTTTTATTTTCCCGCATTTGCGCAGAAATCTACTTCCTTTTTCCGGTCTCGTTTGCATGAGTCTTTGAGTAAAATATATATTTATCAGTCTAGTAAAATATAGGAAGGAACGCAAATACCAGTTCCATTTTTAATAATTCCTTGAATGGCTTGATATGAAAAAACGTTACCTGATAGCTTTTCTTTGTTTACATTGAATATGACGTCATAACATAAATAACGTCACAACTAAAATTCCGAACAACAGAACCGAAATCGGAAACGTAAGGGTATTTCCGTTTCTTTTTGAACAGATTTTGAAGTTAAAATATGTTTGAACTAAAAAAAAATAATTCATACAGACTTCGTCCCCTTTCACAGGTAACGCGACTTCGTCCCCTTAATATGAGGCAGGCATTACCTGTGAAAGGGGACGAAGTGTGTATGAATTTTTTTTTTTAATTCAAACATATTTTAACTTCAAAATCTGTTAAAAAAGAAACGGAAATACCGTAACGTTTCCGATTTCGGTTCTGTTGTTAGGGATTTTATTTGTGACGTTATTTATGTTATGACGTCATATTCAATGTACACTGGAAATTGATATAAATCTAAACAAGAACCATATTTCTTATAGTAATACTAAGACCAAATTGATCCAGATGCGATAAAGAGACCTTCAAGAACTCTATAAGAGAATCCGTAAAAGATATGACGCACAATTGTCTATTTTCATCAGGAGCTGTGAAAAAACTCTCCCATATATTACACACAGCTGGTTAGGACTCTAAACCTAACTATACCGTAAATCTGTAACGATAAAATCTGTAGGCAAAGGGATATGGAATAAAGAAATTAGTGAGGCCTCAAAGACATCTAAATGTGCCTTTTATCAATGAGAAAATGACGAGACTAACACATAAAAAAAAAAATAGAATGAGAAGCACAAGAAAGACTCTAAGGAGTACACAGAGGAGAGCACATGCCTCTAGAAGAAATAGCCTCATGGAAAAAATTATGCGATCAGCTCAAAGTGATACAAAACTCTTTCATAAGCTAGTGCTACAGCAGCGTAACAAGAAAACTATGACAACTGACAACATGGTCTTTAATGGTCAAGAACAATGTGAGAATGAACACCTTCTCAATGGATGGAAAGGACACTTTGAGAAACTTTACAAACATGGTGAAGCTGATTTACAGAAATTAAATTGTAAAAAACTCAATCTTATGACTTTACAAAATGATATTATTGAAAAACTAGAAACAGACAAAAATGAGAAAATTGATAATACAAACCAAAAGAAAATACAAAATATTTTGAGCAAATTAAAATCAGGAAAAAGTCAAGGACCCGATGGGCTGTCGGCTGAACACTTTAAATACATGCCAGATGAGCTTTTACCTTTTCTGATAGCCATTATAAATAGTAACGGTTTTCGAAGATAAGGATGTGCCTCAAGTCATCAAGAAAGGTGTTATTACCCCCGTACACAAAACTGGTAAGTATAAATTATATCCTGAAAACTACCGGAGGAATTACAGTT